GTGTGTGTGTGTGTGTGTGTGTGTGTGAGAGAGAGAGTGTGTGTGTGTGTGTGTGTGAGAGAGAGAGAGAGAGAGTGTGTGTGTGTGTGTGTGTGTGTGTGTATTATGTGTATTATGGGAGTCTTGCTTGAGGCTTTCAAATGATTGAAAAATCATTAAAATAAAATAGGTGAATCATTATGGATACAATATAAAGGCAGTGGAGCCACAGTAAACCAACACATCTCCAAGCTTGAGTTCAGTCAGGTCACGTCTTCCTGCAGAAATGCGATCTGTTCTGTGTGGCACAGGTTTCCATTATCCAGCCTTCAGTGAAAAGGCTTTGTGTTTTCCTTTCTGCCAGTCTAAATTTCTCAGAGAGTTCAAATGCAGATTCACCAGAGCATAATTTATGACTGATGAAACATGTGCTGTGAGGAGATTGTTGTCATGTGTCACTCTTTCTGAATCATGAACATGTTGATTTGTAGGCCAGAGATTTGTTATATGATCCTGTGTGAATTGTCATAACTCTTTCTCTATGACACGCTCCTCAAATGATGTGTGTGAACTGCACATCTTTTTTTTTTACACAGAATAAGTCTCAGTTTTGTTTCCTGGGTTGCTGAATTTTAAACTTTAAGTGTGAAATGTATCATTACTATGTAATGCAAGAGCAAATCCTCACATCACTGCAATCATTTCCTTATTTACATCAGAAAATATTACAATTTGGTCTACTGATCAGTCTGTTTAAACACTAAATCTTTATCTTTGGGATGTGCAGGTAAAGATATAAGGCCTAGACATCACAAACAGTAATATGACACCTGCCCTCTCCTCCGCCAGCAGCCGGTGTCTGTGAGGAGGAAGTGATCAGGAAACAAAGTATCAGCTGACTTCCCAAAGTACATACCAGCTTTGTTTAACTGTCCTATTACCAGCAGCAAGACATCCTGTTTTAGGTTTATTCAGATACAAATGCAATTTGAACATATTGTGTTTTGATGATTCCTAATGGAATGTAATTATTTGTGCATCTGTAATATCGGTCAGTAACACTCTAGGTCAGTTTCTCAGGTCAGTCCAAGAGCAATTTGCTTTTTTTTTTTTTCTCAGAGAAATCTTTAAATCCTGGAGGGTTTGCATTCAACAACAACAAAAATGACATTTTGACAAAAATGAAAAATTACAAAAATGACAAAAAGTTTGTAAGTTTTACAGAGAGAGACTAAAAATGGCACAGTAAAATCCTGTTAATTGGTTAACTGTTCCGTTCCATATTATATGAGGAAAAGCTGTAAATGGTTTAACATTGCATTATACGTAATTTGACTGTAAAATAATGTAAAATGTATGTTTTTTTGGAAATAAAAACTATTGCCATATCATTTACAGTGAAGGACAAGGCCATACAAGGCTCAGAAGTCCCTATGTGACACATCATATATAAGTTGTAAAAATATACAGGCACCAATACGCTCTTCCATAATACCTGAAATGCTGTCACCATGAATTTCTGACAACCATAGCTGCCGGGATTCATTTTTTTCTTGAGACTCTGGATTTAGTGGTGTACTGTATGTAAATCTAAACTGCATAATTCATCTTTTGTGCTCCTCGCATCAGAGAAAATGTCCCCACACGATCTCTCCTCGCCCACATCCCCAGCCATGGATCCAGACGAGATCCGCCTCAGGAGGATGACGAAACGGTCAAAGGTCATTGAGGAGCTGGTGAGAACAGAGGGAGATCATCAGAAGGACCTGGAGCTCTGCATAAGCGAGGTTCTGCTTCCTCTAAGAGCAGCTCAGGCATGTTCACAACCATAGAGAGAGATATTCTCTCAAATCTGTACTAGTCGATCAATAGTGTTGCCACTTACCTATTTTAATGATACGTTTCCTTCATTATGATGTGTAGTGCATTTCTTCTGAGCATCTACTAAACTACTTGATAAGCATTGATTTGAATGGGGTCTGGTGGGGTATTTAAGGTGGTGGATGTGGATCGACTGTTCACCAACACGGAGTCTGTGTGTGAGGTCTCTGCTGAGCTGCTCCAAAGACTGAAATATGCCGTCGCTGACCCTGACCCCGAAACACAGCTCATAGGTGCATCTCAAACAGACACGTTTGACTAGCAAGCATTAAACCAACAAATACACTTGATTAATGTAAAGCAACAACCAGCATTATAAATTAGGATTCTTTTATTCATGTTTATTATTAAACTAAATAATAATAAATTGAATAATGTTAATGTCTAATAAAAAATATTAAATTACATTATTATCAAATTATTTAGACTTCATTTAATGATTTAAAATGATTAATCATTTCATTAGAATTTTAATTTAAATTAAAAATGATTTCGAAATATACAACTATTTGAAAAATTATATAAAAATATACTATTATATAAAAATATTTGAAAATGTATTTACAATTTTATTAAAATAAAAATGTGACCTCTTTAAACTTCATAAAATCCAGTCTGACTTTTATTTATTTATTTTTTAGGAGAAGTGTTTATCCAAACCAAAGCCGTCATGGAGGATGTGTACAAAGTCTACTGCTATCATCACGACGAGGCGAATGCTTTACTCGAGTCTTATGAAGCACAGGAGGACATCCAGCAGCATTTTAGAAGATGTATATCAGCACTCAAGTAATCAAGATGACTGTATTTATCTCTCATTATGAGTGTCATGTGCACATTAATGATATGTTGTCTCCTCTCTCACAGGAAGATATATGACCAAGAGTGAGTACACGTTTTCTAATTTAAACATGGTCATAAATGCATTCAGATATTTCATAACTATAACCATGAATGTTAGTTTATAGACATATGTGAGCGTGCACAAAAGCAGTGTTAAGTCGCTGGGGGATATTTGTAGCAATAGCCAACAATACATTGTATGGGTCACAATTATACATTTCTCTTTTATGCTAAAAATCATTAGGATATTAAGTAAAGATCATGTTCCATGAAGATATTTAGTAAATTTCCTACCGTAAATATATCAAAACTTAATGTTTGATTAGTAATATGCATTGCTAAGAACTTCATTTGAACAACTTTAAAGATGATTTTCTCAATATTTTGATGTTTTTGCAGCCTCAGATTCCAGATTTCCAAATATTGTCCTCTCCTAACAAACCATACATCAATGGAAAGCTTTCAGCTTTCGGATTATGCATAAATCTCAATTTGGAAAAATTTACACTTAAGACTGGTTTTGTGCTCCAGGGTCACATATGTTAGTTCTCAATGCAACCTGTAGTGTATTCAAGCTATGCATCTGCGATTTTGTTGTTGCTGGCATCAAGCTACAAACACATCATAAAAGCAATTTATATAGTGCACAAACTAACGTTTTCTTCAATGTTATTTCTCAGAGGGAAGCCCAATTTGCTTGACATGGGCTCTCTACTCATTAAACCTGTGCAACGTGTCATGAAATACCCGCTGCTATTGGCTGAACTGTGGAATGCCACGCCCACAGACCACCCTGACAACAGACCCTTACAGGAAGCTCTGACCACTGTCAAGATCATTAACATCAACATTAACGAGTTCAAGAGGAGGAAAGACATAGGTGAGGCATTGCACTAACTACTACTACTGCTATACTGGAGTTAAAAGGTTTATTTTTGCTTTGGGGATATTCAAGTATGCAAATATATGAGACTTGTGTTGTTTCAGTGCTGAAGTATAAGAGGAGTGATGATGAAACCTCACTGATGGGTAAACTCAACAAGCTCAACATTCACTCTATCAGGAAGAAATCAGACCGACTGACCAGCTACTTCAAGATTCTCACTGGTGTCGAGCCACAGGTACTTTCATGAAACAAGGCTAGAATGAGCATGTGTGAGTGTATTGTCATGGCTTCTCTTTTGGCAGGTGAGGGATGAAGCGTTTGACAGGGAGGAGAAACTTTTCCGTAGCCTTGAGAAAGCTGTGAGGCAGCTAGTGAAAAACACCAGCTGTTACCTGCTCTATACTCAGGTATGAAGATGCAGTAAGAAACGTGACATGTTTTTAAGCATGCAAAATAAATGCAATTATAAGGCAAGACAAATTGAACAATTAAAACATCCAAAATGCACATTTAAGTGATATGCACGTTTTATCTGACAAAATGAGTTGCACCTGCACACATCAAACTCACCGGTTTATTCCTGACTATGTTCTGAGGATTTGTACAGAGGGATTTGTGCATATATCATTCGTCTGATTTTGTATAATATTTTATTCTTAAAAACATGGTGAAAATTTATTTTTATGGCTGTTGACAATTTTTTGGAGTGATAAAAAGATTTATCCAAAAAAAATGTATGCAAATGTATCTCATTTGCATATTTAAACATAATATTTCAGAAAACTTATAATACAAAACAATTGTGTTAATGTACTTTGCTTAATGATTTATGTGTACAGTAATGATTCTAGGGACTCATAAATTAATTCTACATAAATCAGCAAAATCATAACATTCCAGGCTATAAGATAAGATATGAGATAAGAAGCCTTTATTGTCATTGCATTTAAAATACAAAATACAATGGAATTTAGATTTTTTTTTATTATTATTCAAAATCAACCATAATATGACCACATGGATCATTTCGTTCCAGTGCACAGCGGCAAACATAGGAAAGTACAGAGTTGATTTTTGCTATTGCGGGTTTATTTAGTGATTTGGGAGAAAATAAAATCCGAAAAAACGAGCCTCATTGTACCATACTGTGAATTTGGAAGCATTTAAACGTTAAATAATGTGTCCTCTTGAACTACTAGACTATTTAAGACCTGAATTATGTAATTATATTTCTTTATATTGTAGGAGATGATCTCCATTGCTGTTCAAAATGCACAGGACCTAGAAGCTATTATAAAGGATCCAGACAAAATAGACACAAACGGCTTTCAGCATAAGAGGAATGGCAGTGACCCATACAAACAGTTCGTAAGTGTTTTAAAGTATGAAAGTTCTCCTCAGTTCTTGTCATTTCTTTCTGCAGCGTGAGCCATAAACATCTCAAACGGTCAATCTGTGTTAAAGTTCCTCTTTAAAATCACATATGGAACATGATCTTTACTTGTGTCTATAAATGTGTATGGTTTGCGTTCCTCAGAAAGATCAAATGGAGCAGCTGGTTCTGGCTCCTCTCTCGAGCCTGCTGGGAATGTTTGCATCGCCGCAGAAGCTGATACAGAAGCGCTACGATAAGCTGTTGGACTACTGCAGCCAGCTGGATTCCCGATCCTCCAAAGAGGAACAGGGCCTGGCCAAGAAAGATTACCTGGCCCTCAATGCCCAGCTGCTTGAGGAGCTGCAGTGCTTCAACCGAGCCGTCCGGACCATCCTCACCAACTGCTTGATTTGTGTGGTCAAACTAATTCAGAAGCTGATGGAAGCAGCTCAGCCGCCAGTCCTCCAGATACCGGTGAGTTAAAGGAGGGAGAGAAATTATGCTAAAATAATGATGCACTTTAAAATAAAAAGAAAATCGGTAACACTTTACAATAAGGTTCCATTAGTTAATGTATCATCTAACATGAACAAACAATGAACGATACATTTATTACAGTATTTGTTAATCTTCAATGAAAATACAGTTGTTCATTGTTACTTCATATTAATTCGCAGTGCATTAACTAATGTTAACAAGCACAACTTTTGATTTTAATAATGCATTAGTAAATGTAGAAATGAACATTAAATCAAGTATTGTTCATGCTTAGTTCATGTTAACTAAAGTAGTTAACTAATTAACCTTATTGTAAAGTGTTACCACAAAATCATTATGAAGTGCAGAGAAAGCAAAGCTTTTCTGCCCAAAAACCCAGGTTTAAATATCTTGCTCAAGGGCAAAATGGTGCATTTTTTACTTATCGGGTTACTACTGTGGTTCAAACCTACAACCTTTGTGTTATCCAAAACCATCAGCCTTTAATATTCTAAGCAGGATCTTCAGGCATACAAGATATAGCAGAACCTGAAAGGGAAACATTCACACATACGTGATAAAAGTTCCTGTAGAACAGCAGTAATGCAGCTCAATGCCAAAATTCGAAAGTGTGATATGAGTTTTAAATATTGAAATATGGTTCCATCCACAGCAGGGGTTCTCAACGTTTTTGACTTCTTTGTACAAGCCAAAATTCGATAAGCTCTGTTTTAACACAGACAAATAACTCAAAATATTACATCAGTTTAAAACAACTGTATGTATGTTTTTTTGTTACCCAGTTTCCAGATCACTACACTTTCTTCTGTTTTTGGCATGTTGTACACCTTTATTTTTAGTGTTTTTTTTAGCATTGTAATTCAAATTATGTTACTAAAATCATTTTAAAACTTATTGCTGATCTGCACTATAGCCACAATTCTGTCATGGGTGTTTAATATGACATTTTAACCATTATCTCGGTCATCTAGGTTCCCATGTCGAACTTTAGCGAAGTCCAAAATTCTATCATGGAGGAGCTGAGCAACCTCGGATTCTTCAAAGAAAATTCCCAAAAGCTGATGGAGCGCAAAGTGAGCTTTGAGAAACGGGACAAGAAAACGGTAGGATTACAATGGGTAAAGCTGTGTTTGTAAGGTCTGGTAACGGTCCCGGCTGACTGGAGGACTGTCTTCAGGTGCCAGAGATCCCCAGACAGATGGAGGAGCAGCGAGCCTGGCTCCTGGAGGAGTATGCAGTGGATCGGCTCTATCAGCTCAAGCGTAACTGCAATGCCTGTCAGCAGAGCGACATCAGTCTGCTGGAGGGGGAGCTGGTGGCCCTGCTGGAGGACAGAGACCCGATGGGAAGCAGCAGTCGCTGGCTCGTACACACGGGGAGTACGTCTGTTTGTGTGCCCTTACAAAAATATATAATGATGCACAGCAAGAGGGAAGTATTATGAAATAATGATTTCAAGTCATTAACTAAGGTTAAAGTGTTCTGCAGGCTGTATCCATTCATTTGCAAATAAATAACAGGATATAAACTACCGTTTAAAAGTTTAGGGTCGGTAAGATTTACATTTTTATGCTCTCCATGACTGCATTTATTTGATTAAAAATGCAGTAAAAATTTAAAAATATGATTACAATTTAAAACAGCTGTTTTCTGTGTGAATCTCTGTTAAACTGTAATGTATTTCTGTGATGCGCAGCTGTATTTTCAGCATCATTCCTCCAGTCTTCAGTGTCACATGATCTTCAGAAATCAGTATAATATGCAAATATAAAAAATATAATATAAAAAAATAGTCGTGCTGCACAATATTTTTGTGGAAACTGTGATGCATTTTAAATGTTCAGGATTCACGATGAACAGAACGTTAACTAAAGTAGTTAACTAATGAACCTTATTGTAAAGTGTTACCACAAAATCATTATGAAGTGCAGAGAAAGCAAAGCTTTTCTGCCCAAAAACCCAGGTTTAAATATCTTGCTCAAGGGCAAAATGGTGCATTTTTTACTTATCGGGTTACTACTGTGGCTCAAACCTACAACCTTTGTGTTATCCAAAACCATCAGCCTTTAATATTCTAAGCAGGATCTTCAGGCATACAAGATATAGCAGAACCTGAAAGGGAAACATTCACACATACGTGATAAAAGTTCCTGTAGAACAGCAGTAATGCAGCTCAATGCCAAAATTCGAAAGTGTGATATGAGTTTTAAATATTGAAATATGGTTCCATCCACAGCAGGGGTTCTCAACGTTTTTGACTTCTTTGTACAAGCCAAAATTCGATAAGCTCTGTTTTAACACAGACAAATAACTCAAAATATTACATCAGTTTAAAACAACTGTATGTATGTTTTTTTGTTACCCAGTTTCCAGATCACTACACTTTCTTCTGTTTTTGGCATGTTGTACACCTTTATTTTTAGTGTTTTTTTTAGCATTGTAATTCAAATTATGTTACTAAAATCATTTTAAAACTTATTGCTGATCTGCACTATAGCCACAATTCTGTCATGGGTGTTTAATATGACATTTTAACCATTATCTCGGTCATCTAGGTTCCCATGTCGAACTTTAGCGAAGTCCAAAATTCTATCATGGAGGAGCTGAGCAACCTCGGATTCTTCAAAGAAAATTCCCAAAAGCTGATGGAGCGCAAAGTGAGCTTTGAGAAACGGGACAAGAAAACGGTAGGATTACAATGGGTAAAGCTGTGTTTGTAAGGTCTGGTAACGGTCCCGGCTGACTGGAGGACTGTCTTCAGGTGCCAGAGATCCCCAGACAGATGGAGGAGCAGCGAGCCTGGCTCCTGGAGGAGTATGCAGTGGATCGGCTCTATCAGCTCAAGCGTAACTGCAATGCCTGTCAGCAGAGCGACATCAGTCTGCTGGAGGGGGAGCTGGTGGCCCTGCTGGAGGACAGAGACCCGATGGGAAGCAGCAGTCGCTGGCTCGTACACACGGGGAGTACGTCTGTTTGTGTGCCCTTACAAAAATATATAATGATGCACAGCAAGAGGGAAGTATTATGAAATAATGATTTCAAGTCATTAACTAAGGTTAAAGTGTTCTGCAGGCTGTATCCATTCATTTGCAAATAAATAACAGGATATAAACTACCGTTTAAAAGTTTAGGGTCGGTAAGATTTACATTTTTATGCTCTCCATGACTGCATTTATTTGATTAAAAATGCAGTAAAAATTTAAAAATATGATTACAATTTAAAACAGCTGTTTTCTGTGTGAATCTCTGTTAAACTGTAATGTATTTCTGTGATGCGCAGCTGTATTTTCAGCATCATTCCTCCAGTCTTCAGTGTCACATGATCTTCAGAAATCACTATAATATGCAAATATAAAAAATATAATATAAAAAAAATAGTCGTGCTGCACAATATTTTTGTGGAAACTGTGATGCATTTTAAATGTTCAGGATTCACGATGAACAGAACGTTCAAAAGAACAGCGTTTATTTGAAATAGAAATCTTTTGATGAAATTAATAAAAGTATTAATTTATTTTTTGCTGACCCCAAGCTGTAGTGCATGTAAATGTTTGGTGTAGCACATAAAACCAACATTTCTTGGTAAAACTTAGCAATAGTTTTATAGTATTCATTAGTCTTGGTTAATGTTTGTTTTCTTCTTCTATGTATTCATTTGAACATTTCAAGTTGTATAAACCAACATTAGTTAATGAATCAAAAATGAATATGAATTAACAATAGCATATTTATAAATTAACAAAGGCTGTCGTTCAAACCACCTGAACCTTATTATATAGAGTTTCCATTTCTTGCTCAAGTTTATTAGTTCAAGTCACGAGAGTTTAAACCAGTGAACACAATCACATTTTCCAGGACACGCCATTAACTAAAGCATTAATAACTAATTTGGGATGAATCTCATCTGCGGTAGCACTCCATAACTCTACAGCAGAGAGTAATGAAATCCCGTAAGGATATTCTTTCCTCAAAACTAGCCTCTGGTGAACTCCACAGAGACGGTTGCTTCTCAACAGGACCAGCGCTCAGGTGACTTACGGTCTGTATCAACTATCCACGATCCTTCAAGAGAATTCATTCAATTAGTTTGTGTCCCGACACTGATCCGTCTGAGATCACGTTCTTTGGCAATTCTTTGGCTCCTATTACGTTAAGCAGGCTCCTGCTGCTGATAATGACATTTCTCTCTGTGTGTGTGTTTAGGTACGCAGGGCTACGTGTACTCCTCATTCCTGAAAGCCTATAACCCCCAGCGGGAGGTGACTGAGAGGCCAGACGACTTCGACAATCTGAGTCTGTTTGTGTCAAACAGCAGGAGCAGCAGTATGCGCAGCTTCAGTCCCTACAGTGCTTCAGACAGCGTGTCCCCTGCAGCACAGGACGAGCCGGACCCCTCGGAGGACCAGCATGTAAGACATGTGTACTAGGAATATAAGCATGCTTACAATGCCGCTCGGCCAAACAAGTTAAAGTAGACCAGAAATAAAAAGGTGAAATACATTCACAGAAACAAAATTTTTTTTTGAAAGACTATCAAAATTGAAATGTGAAAATAGTTTGGAATGCATTGCTTAAAGGGGCAGTTCACCTAAAAATGAATCACTTACGTAGCCTCAAGTTGTACCAAACAGAGTTTCTTTCTTCTGTTGAACCCAAAAGAATAGATATATTTGAAGGCACAAAGGCACAAAAAAGCAATTTTGATGAAATTGTTAAATTAAATGTTTTCATATGTGATAAGGGTCAGTTTATCGAAATTGAGATTTATGCATCATCTGAAAGCTGAATAAATAGCTTTCCATTGATGTATGGTTTGTTAGGATAGCACAATAATTGAAAATCTGGAATCTGAGGGTGCAAAAAAATCTAAATGTTGAGAAAATCATCTTTAAAGTTGTTCAAATGAAGTTCTTAGCAATGCATATTACTAATCAAACATTAAGTTTTGATATATTTACGGTAGGACATTTACTAAATATCTTCATGGAACATGATCTTTACTTAATATCCTAATGATTTTTGGCATGTAATATGTAAAACTGTAATATGGAAAGGAATGGACGTTCCAAGTCATTTGAAATGAGACACTGATTTCTCAGATACTACGCTGTTATGTGACAATATAGTGCATTTTGTAGTTTAAAACTAATATGACATCTGATCTTTATAAAGTTAAATTGTCATGCTTTGAGGCTGTACTGTTCTCAAGCAGAATTATTAAAAAAAGAGACAAATTTTCCTTCTTTTTTCACAGTTCTACGCAGTTTATGCATTTCAGGCGCGCTGCGAACAAGAGCTGACGCTTCAGGAGAACCAGCACGTTCGTATCCTTCAGTTCTCAGACCTCGTCGGTAACAAAGACTGGTGGCTCGCCGAATCTAACGGACAGAAAGGATACGTTCCAGCAAATTACCTTGGAAAGATGTCATATGCTTAAAACTGTTTGTTTGTTTGCTTTAACCACTATCAATATTTTTTTTATTTAAATGAAGAAAACTATGAATATCGCTAATGAAGGCCAACCCTGCACAAATATTTTTGCACGTGTGAAGCTACCAACAGTGTTTGCTTGAATTATATACAATTTGTTATAGAGAACTTAATCAGAAAAAAAATATTTGAAGTAACTGTATATAGTAATATATATATAAGATTATGTGATGAATAAAATATTTACAACCACGTCTATTTGTTTGTGAGCTGTTCTTCATTAATCTCCTACATTTGTCAGAGTAAACAAAAGGTTTTAAAGGTGACATATTATGCCCCTTTTTACAGTATGTAATATAAGTCTCTGGTGTCCCCAGAATGTGTCTGTGAAGTTTCAGCTCAAAATACTCCACAGATCATTTATTATATCATTTTGAAAATGCCTATTTTGAGTGGAAGCAGACACACGCTGTTTTTCGTGCCTGTCTCTTTAAATGCAAATGAGCTGCTGCTCCCCGCCCCCTTTTCCAGAATAGAGCTGCGCCATTAGAGCTCGTACCTGCTAAAAACATCTGTTTTGGTTCTGATTATCATGTTTATCGCGCTGAAATCATGCGTTTTAAACCATATGAGTTTAAACTTCTGATATAGGGTTTTCTGAGCGCACACATCCGAAGCACACGCACAGAAAGCAGCTGTCACAGCATGCGAGTACTAAACTAAGCTCAAGTTTACGTTAAAAACACACACGAGTTACAAAAACAGTGGGTTATGTCTGTGAAGGTAAACAGCTGGGAAATAAATCCCATGTTTATTTTAGATCTGTGTGGCAGCAGCAATATACAGTAAATACATCAATAAATGCTCTGCTCTGTTGTCTCCTCTGAGGCTGGGACTCTAAACAGTGTTCTGTGCTCGTCTGTGCAGCCAAACACTGAACAGTTAGCATGCTTCGCTCAAACATTCTCCATGGCATTAGAGCTGCTACACCGTTGTCGCTTGCGAAATCAAAATGACGGCGCTGTGGGTGGAAACTTACAGATTGAGGGGCGGTGATATTATAATGAGACCCCTTTGCCACGTCACAGAGGGAGCGAAATCAGACGCGCTGGTTTTCTCAGACGCTTGCAGAAAAAGGCTTCCCAAAACTAAGTTACTGGGTTAATCGTTTTCACGTTTCCTTGGTTGGTAGATGCCCCGGAGACCTGATTATAGCACTTAACACCTGGAAAATCAGATTTCAATGATATGTCACCTTTAAAGAACGAGAAAACATTTTTCTAAAAAAGGTGTTATTTATTAAACACGTCATTAAAATGAGCATCTTGTTTTCAGTAATGGGTCTGGTTTAGAAAGAATGAGGCACTTCTCAAAGCCAAACCGCTTGAGGAAGACCAGCAGCGTTCAAACTCGAGTGTATCTGATTGGAAAAACAGGATTTGTGTCTGGCTTTTTCGTCCTCATTTCTTCAGTTTCTTCTGTGCTGCTTTCTTCTTCACCATCTGCAGCCGCTTCATCGCATTGAGCTGAGACTCCTGGGAAGCGGGCGTCTTGCCGTCAGCTGAGGCTTTTGCTCCATTGCTGTTGTTGCTGCTGCCCCCCCCGTTGCCTCCCAGGCTGCTGGAGGTCGCCCCCCCGGGTGACTGGGATCCTGAGCTCTCTCCACTAGCGGAGCGGCTCAACACCTGCTTGCCGAGTGTGAGAGGAGGAGGTGGTTTCATTACCGCTGTGTTTCCAGCACTGCTGCCTCCTGGAGGTTTAGTGGCCAGACCTGGTTTAACACCGGTCAGCGCAGAGAGTCCCACGGGTTTGGAGCCGGAGGGAGGTGGGGCTGGTTTACTGCTGCTTGGCTGACTGGTGCTCAACTTGGTACTGGAAGGTCCTACGTTTGAGGTCTTGGTAAAGGCAGCCCATCCTGTAAGGCCTGAGGGCAAAGACGAGCCACTGCTGGAAGAGTTTCCTGATGCCACAGACGCCTGAACAGAAAAAAACACTTGTAAATGTTGTAAAAACAGTGACATTGTGAAATATTATTACAATTATTACAAGTTTTCTATTTGAATACATGTGACCCTGGACCACAAAACCAGTCATAAGGGTCATTTTTTTAAGCTTTCCATTGATGTATGGTTTGTTAGGATAGGATCATATTTGAAAATCTGGAATCTGAGGGTGCAAAATAAAGTGCAAAATAAAAATCTAAATATTGAGAAAATCATCTTTAAAGTTGTTCAAATGAAGTTCTTAGCAATGCATATTACTAATCAAACATTAAGTTTTGATATATTTACGGTAGGAGATTTGCAAAATATCTTCAAGGAACATGATCTTTACTTAATATCCTAATGATTTTTGGCATAAAAGAGAAATGTATAATTGTGACCCATACAATGTATTGTTGGCTATTGCTACAAATATCCCCCAGCGACTCAACACTGCTTTTGTGCTGCAGGGACACATATTTTAAAATGTAATTCATTCATGTGATGGCAAAATATGCATTTATAGCACACATTTAAGCTATGCTTTTAAAAACTCCCAGCGTAAATTACAGTCTCTGGGTTCATAGCATCACGGACAGCAATATTTTAATAATTTATAACAAACTGAAACACTGCCGGGCCGTCTGAGACTTCAGTGTGGAGATAAATGTTAGGATCATGATTTTTCTGTAGTATTACAGTACGCTGTGATTGTATATTAGCACCGTTTGTCGTTTGCTTTTGCCATCTGATAGAGCGCTCGGACTCGGAAACAGTGACATAACAAGCGGATTACTCAAGCCTTCGACGTCAGATCAGATTTGCTGATTATTACCGATGTTGAAAACAGTTGTGCTGCACAATACTTCTGTGGAAACCGTAATGCACTTTTTTCCAGTGGTGAACAGAGAGTTTTATTCATTTAACAGCATTTATTTGAAATAGAACATTTTTGTGACATTATAAATGTCAATTTAATGCATCCTTGACAACTGAAAGTATTAATTCCTTTCCAAAAAGTACAAAATAAATACTTTACTAAACCCAGACTTTTGAAAGGTCATATATGTATAATACATGACATTACACAGGCCTGAAACATGAATATAAACGCACAGATGAAGCACAAGCGATGACAACACACAACCAGATGCTGGCAGGGAAAACACCGATAACTGTAGAACTGGACTTACACTGGTAAAGCGCATCCCAAATTGAGCATTTTGCACTATTCTATGGCATTTTGTAGCATAAAGAGAGCGAGTATTATGTTCACACTGAAAACCTTCAAAAGAAACGTACATTTCAAATACCTGGATGATGCACTTAAGTAATAAAAAACGAAACACTTTGCAGTTTTAATTCTGTAGTGTATGTGAAAGCACTCACCTTCACCTCCGTTCTCTTAAAGGCCTGGAATGAACCGGTTGTTTCCGGTTTGGGCTTTAATTCAGCTTTCTTCACTAGAGGATCTTTCAACATAGGTGCTGCTGTTGCCAAAGCAGGAGCTGGTTTCTGTGGAGCTTTCTGGGTCTTTTGGGCCTGAGACGTTAATAAACATCACACTGAGAGTTACTACTGTATTATAAGTGATATGCATCTAACCTAGTGTCATGACATGCTTACCATCCGTTTCATTTGCCTGGTGCATCGAGCACAGTACCACACCAGCCGTGGGTCATTGACATCCTTGTCAGTAACCTGAGGTTTGTGACACTCCTGATGATACAGATTATGACACTCCTGACACTCCACTAGCTGATTGCCAGACGTGACTGTCATTTGTCTGAGAGGAGAGAAAAGCTGGGTCAGTCTCACAAACACATGGCCTGAGATTAGAGGAGGATTCGCTGGACATCCACGACAACACAGATACTGCTTATGAAACATACTGGCACACCAGTGTCCAAACCAGATTAGTAATTACAATTAAACACATCTGTGAGCCTGCAGCACAAAAGCAGAGTTAAGCCGCTGGGGGACATTTGTAGCAATAGCCAACAATACATTGTATGGGTCACAATTATACATTTCTCTTTTATGCCAAAAATCATTAGGATATTAAGTAAAGATCATGTTCCATGAAGACATTTTGTAAATGTCCTACCGTAAATATATCAAAACTTAATGTTTGATTAGTAATATGCATTGCTAAGAACTTAATTTGAACAACTTTAAAGATGATTTTCTCAATATTTAGATTTTTTTGCATCCTCAGATTCCAGATTTTCAAATATTGTCCGATCCTAACAAACCATACATCAATGGAAATATTATTTATTCAGCTTCAGATGATGCATACATCTCAATTTTGAGAAATGTACCCTTATGACTGGTTTTGTGCTCCAGGGTCACATATTATATAGTATTATTCCTTAATACTTTAAATGAGCTTTTACTTTTACAGCTTTGGTTTTCATTCGAATGTTAGTTTACGTTTTAGCAATTTTGTAAAATTTTTATTTATTCTTCTATGCAGCTTTAACTTTTATTTTTATATAGTTTCAGTTATTTTTTGGCACTTTGTGCTTATTTTTTAACTTATTTATTTATAGGCAAATGGTAATTTTAGTTTACGTTTTATTTTAGTAATTTGTATTTGCTCGTATGTTTTGAATCTATATTTAGTTGGTTAAATTCTTAACAACTGTTTTGATTTATTATTAATTTGTAATTATTTTAAAAAAGTAGCCTGCTTATGTAATTTAATAACAATGCACAAAATAAATTTGATATAAAATGAATATGTAGCCATGTGCCGTAATATTGAAAACTGAGGATGTGACGCATTGTGACATCGAAGTGTTGACATGACACTCGTAATCGAGTCGAGAAGCCTGTGACGATTCTCATGCTGTGCTACATCGCTCACCGACAAACCACACAAGCAAGGCCCATCTCCATGGCAAAGTCGTCAGCATTGGTTTCCTCAATGTCCGTGAAGTCTGGGATGGGGATATCCTTGGTTTGAAAAGCAATGGGAGAGCAATGACTGTCTGGCTTCTCCACACGAGGTTTTTTAGGTGTTTTGATTTATTATTAATTTGTAATTATTTTAAAAAGTAGCCTGCTTATGTAATTTAATAACAATGCACAAAATAAATTTGATATCAAATGAATATGTAGCCATGTGCCGTAATATTGAAAACTGAGGATGTGACGCATTGTGACATCGAAGTGTTGACATGACACTCGTAATCGAGTCGAGAAGCCTGTGACGATTCTCATGCTGTGCTACATCGCTCACCGACAAACCACACAAGCAAGGCCCATCTCCATGGCAAAGTCGTCAGCATTGGTTTCCTCAATGTCCGTGAAGTCTGGGATGGGGATATCCTTGGTTTGAAAAGCAATGGGAGAGCAATGACTGTCTGGCTTCTCCACACGAGGTTTTTTAGGCGCCTCGGCTCCTTCCCCAGGACCAACCCGAATCTGCAGATCACACAGTCTTTTATTAGTGCCTTAGGCTGAGCTTTTCCACTGCTCGCATATCATGCAATCACAGTGCAAAATAACATTTAAAGAGACCTTTTCCAAAGATCTCTTCTCGCCCTCTTTCTTGGTCTTCTCCGAGCTGCTGGGTTTACTGATGCTGCTGCTGCTGGAGGAGGAGGAGGAGGAGGATGAAGAGCTAGAGGAGGATTTGGAGTCTTGTTTGGTCATCTTTGGTAATGACAGCTTGCTCGCCTCGGCTTCCTAAAGAACGGGTCACACATTAATACATCTAACACTTCAATTCCACACTTTTAAGCCAGCTTGTTTGGCTGGATCACCTTCAGAGAGGTCCTACAGATGGAGTCGCCGCCCCTGGCTACAGACTCCTCCAGCAGGGCCTTCAGCTTCTCCACTGAGTCTTTGCTCTTGGAGTGAAGGTAGCTCAGTCCCTTCAGAAACACGGGGTCTAGCTCCAGACTGACTGCTCCTGCCATTGCGGAGCCTTCTTGTGTGATTTTACACAAGACAAAGAATCTTCCTGTGTTTAGTGTGCTACGATCTCACGTTTTTCTAAGATAACTAAGCAACTGGAACTAACTGACTCGAGATTAAGGTCTTCAGGTTCTGTGTAAACAGTAGTAAACCCCAATATCACCCTTAGCACTAATTAACTAAGTTATTAGCAGTGAGTGTTCTGCGGATTGAAACGTTTCCTGACAGAAGCAGTGAGTCAGGGTTGCCAGGTTTTCACGAGAAAACCCGCCTAATCGCGGTTTTCATGCTGCGATTAATTCAACGAGCAATAGCTACATTTGCTACAGAAGTTATTAATCTTTGTTTAAAAATTACAAGTCTTAGTTCATGTTAGCTCATTAAATAACACAGTTGCAACTTTCGATTTTAACAAAGTGTTATTAAATATTGTAATTACCTAAGATTAAATATCGTGCATATTCATTACCGTGATATATCGCATTACCGAATACCTGCGCAAGTCTTATATATATATATATATATATAAATATAAATTTATAAGCAAATGAAAAAGCAAAATGAGAGGGAATGAGTCAGACACTAATAAATGTAACGCAAGGAAATGCTACGCAGTGCGGGAAATTGTAATATCCTCGATATTCAGCGATATGCATATTTTTATGTAGCCATCTAAGACTATTTTTCTTATAACAAAAATAACTGAACATTTAAATGCAATAAAGCAATACAGAAAAATGTATAAAGTTAAAAGTTTTACACAGATTAAAGTGCAAAAGAACTATAAAGACCAATAGGTATCACTTTACAATAAGACCTCATTAGTTAACCTTAGTTAATGCATTAACATTCACAATGAGCAATATCTACATTTTGCTGCAGAAGTTATTAATCTTTGTTTAAAAAATACTAGTCTTAGTTCATGTTAGCTCGTTAAATAACACAGTTGCAACTTTCGATTTTAACAAAGTGTTATTAAATATTGTAATTACCTAAGATTAAATATCGTGCATATTCATTACCGTGATATATCGCATTACCGAATACCTGCGCAAGTCTTATATATATATATATATATATATATATATATATATAAATATAAATTTATAAGCAAATGAAAAAGCAAAATGAGTGGGAATGAGTCGGACACTAATAAATGTAACGCAAGGAAATGCTACGCAGTGCGGGAAATTGTAATATCCTCGATATTCAGCGATATGCATATTTTTATGTAGCCATCTAAGACTATTTATTGTGCGAAATCATGTCGGTTATATCGCTGCTGACTGGCGTCGGAGGCAAGGTTGCCAGGTATTCACAACAAAACCCGCCCAATTGGGTTCCGGGAGGTAATATGCACGTTTTTTTTTTTTTGGCGGGTTCCTGGTAAAATTCGCATTACCAGAGGCTAAATATCACATTATTGGCGTGATAAACATGATAAACAACCAGACTGTATAAAAACATGGATGTAGTGTCGTGACGTAGGTTTCTAAAGAGCGTTTTTGAAACCTAAAGTGGGCGGAGCCGGCCGTCAGCGCGTCACTTCTGGATCACCGAAAATGGGCAAAGAGGCGGGAGCTGGTTGCTGAAACCACGCCCACCTAGCTCAACGGCGGTGTCAGCAGCGTCCTGTCACTCAAGTGGCCACGCCCTTAATTATGCAGAACTTTATGGCTTAATATAATTCAAAACGTCATGAAGGGCAAAATTAGCTATATAGACCAAAACCACTTTTTGTTCCAGGCTGTAAACATGTTTTTTTCTGCTGTAAAGTTGGGCATTTTAACATGAGGAGTCTATGGGACTTACAGTTTCAGTCGCTTCCGTGCTGGCTTCCCGAGAGAGAGCGCGAGGCTGCCGCTTGTTTACAAGGGCAACAGTGATAAAGTAGCCGGATTCCGCGGGAAAACCGAGGATCTGGCAACACTGGTCGGAGGCGCGCGCTGTAGCAGCGTCATAACTGTGTTGGCGAGTGTAAGACGCTGATTGGCTGTTGCAGTGTGACGGGGCTTCCTGTCCCAGATCGCAGGGGTGAGATGCTAAAGATCCGAGCAGCAGCATTAATAGCAGCATAGCTGGACTCTATCTGTGGCTTCACTGACACACACAGCAGTTAGACTTACTTATCAAATCCTTAGATCAAAGAGATCCCAGGAAAAGGTAAGTGGGTCTATAAATCCTAAAGCATGTCAGTTCATTTCGACATGCCTCGTTTATTCAGATGTCATCATTTATTTTTAATCATTGTGCATGAATAAATGTTGCTTGTGATGTTATTGACAGCTAGTAGAGAGTAACCTGTTTTTGTCATTTTTCTTAATGCATTGAAGCAGCCTTCATGCAAGCATCATTATAACGAATTACATGAAAGCATTCTTGGACTGTTAAAGACAATGCAAATGATTTAAAAAATGTCAATGTGCTACTGAGAAGTGGAATGTTTTCTGTATTATTAGTATTGTTAGTAGCAGTATAATGCATATTTGTACTCCTTCAGATTGGGACTGAGCACAGGATGGTGATGGAGAAGCCCAGTCCCCTGCTGGTAGGACGGGAGTTTGTGAGACAGTATTACACGCTTCTCAATAAAGCACCAGACTTTCTGCACAGGTATATCACGAGTTCCTTCCTTTCACAGCTTCTGAGGAATACAGATGACTAAAAACGTTCTCCCGTTGCAGATTTTATGGACGGAACTCCTCCTATGTGCACGGTGGACTGGATGCCGATGGAAAGCTTTCAGAGGCAGTCTACGGGCAGACTGTAAGTGCTGATGATTGTTGTGTGATCGTGTGTAGCCTGTAGAGTGATGGAGATGCTCACCAGCACCTGTGGTCCTCGTCTACAGGAGATCCATCAGAAGGTGCTGGCCCTGCAGTTCAGCGAGTGCCACACAAAGATCCGGCACGTGGATGCACACGCCTCGCTGAGCGATGCTGTGGTGGTGCAAGTCATGGGAGAACTGTCCAACAGCGGCCAGCCCATGAGGAGGTTCCTGCAGACGTTTGTTCTGGCTCCAGAGGTGTGTGTAATGAGAGCGTGGCATGTGCGTTCCCTCTGCTGGCAAGCATTGATTACTGTAAACCAATTGCAGTTATTAAACATCTGCATCGGTGTCCGGGTTGGTATTTAGGATGGCGTTTCTGTGAGCCTTCAAATGTGAGCCTGCAGCACAAAAGCAGTGTTAAGTCGCTGGGGGATATTTGTAGCAATAGCCAACAATACATTGTATGGGTCACAATTATACATTTCTCTTTTATGCCAAAAATCATTAGGATATTAAGATCATGTTCCATGAAGATATTTAGTAAATGTCCTACCGTAAATATATCAAAACTTAATGTTTGATTAGTAACATGCATTGCTAAGAACTTCATTTGAACAACTTTAAAGATGATTTTCTCAATATTTAGATTTTTTTGCACCCTCAGATTCCAGATTTTCAAATATTGTGCTATCCTAACAAACCATACATCAATGGAGAGCTTATTTATTAAAGTTTATGCATAACTCTCAATTTCAAAAAATTGACCCGTATGGCTGGTTTTGTGCTCCGGGGTCACAAATGGTCTTAATTTGCCCTGAAATGTTTTTGTATCTAGGGTTCTGTGGCAAATAAGTTTTACGTTCACAATGATATCTTCCGATATGAGGACGAGGTCTTCGGCGACTCCGAGGCGGAGCTGGATGAAGGTTAGTTGATCGTTAAAGATTATTACACGCACATCCATACCGTTTTCTTCACTTTTGCGGTCTACTTGGACCGCATGGTTTTCATTGGCTTGCCGATTTGATATTTTTTTTCTATCACTTAGATTTGTTTTGCATTTAGTGAAAATTCACCTTAAATGGTCTGTGGCTGATTATATTTCGTTGTTTTGAGATGGATGTGATTTATGGTTGCCTAGCAACTAGCAGTTACATTTGCAACATTTCGAACATTTGCCCTGCATGCAGCATCTATAATAAGACTGTCGCTTCTCATATCCATACCTTTTTCTTCACTTTTGTCCAGCTTTTAATGTACAGAGAAAACTACTAAACGAGTTTAGTAAAATTTTGCCAGGAAATGTTGTTAATGTAAAAAATCTTGTGTGATATAACTTTTGTTTGTTTGTTTGCTGCTTTTTGTTATACTTGTATTTTTTAAATTGTTTTAGCCATGAAAATAGCCTTTGATGCTGACATGGCATTAAATAAATACATATACTATACTTTTCTTCACTTTTGCAGTCTACTTGGACCCCATGATTTTCATTGGCTGCTAATTAGGTTTTTTATTTTATTCTTCCATCACTTTTTTTTTTTGTTGCATTTAGTGAAAAATCACCTTACTTTAAGTGCTTAAATGGTCTGTGGCTGAGTATATTTTGTGTTGTTTTGAGATGGATGTGATTTATGGTTGCCTAGCAACAAGCAGTTACATTCGTAACATTTCGAACATCAGCCCTGCTACATCACTTGAGCTACAAACTTAAAAGTTGGCATGAAAGTCCCCACGTGGAGCAGATTATCTCGTGGGTCCAACCTTGAAAATGTTTCCATTATTTGACATTTTCAGTCAAACTATTACAAATCTTCTTCTGATGAGCCGCTCGCTCAATATTGTCCCCCTCTTTGCCTGGACATGGCTTTTTGAATAAGCAAATTTAAACTCGTTTAGTTAGATATAGATATTTGGAACGAGCAGAAATCGGTGAGAAGTGTAACGACACAAGAACTGATCAAAATGAGCTGGTGTTCGAGTCTCCGCTCAAGGTTCAGGCTTGCATAAGCAGCTTTCATCACAAAAATGTTGACTTTAAATGTCGTTTAACCCCTATGTATGCATTTATTTAATAGTTTTATTATTATTATTTATTTATTTTGCAAAAGTCAAAGCCTCCGTTCATTACACCAGTGAAGCAGATGCAGCATTTTCCATCGTTTCGTTGCACAAATTACAACTACATCTAAAAAAGCCACTTGAACTTAATTAATGCTCATCTCATTGTTTGTAATTGTATACCATTTGGGCTTTGTTTGGATGGATGCTGAGGATATAAACCGTCTGATGCATTATAGACGGAAGTCATACAGAATACTTGAGTTCTGTCAGGAATAACTTTTCGCAAAATGTTTTGTGAGTTAGAGCTACAGTAATGTTTTAAAGCAAAGGGATAGTACTTTCTCATTCAGTTTTTTTATCTTTATATATTATGCTGGGACAGAGTCTGAAGAAGAAACCGATGAGCCAGAAGACCGGCAACCGTCGCCCGAACCGCTCCTGGACGGCTATGAAGCCCATGCTGTCAGGTGACCACTGTTTCACTTTCAGCCTACTAATCAAGCAGTGCGCCCCGTGAAGCCGTGGTTTACAGGGAATTTATAACAGCTGAGGGGCGTTGCTAGGCACGAGTTATAATATAAAACCCCTTAGCTGTTATAAATTCACTGTAAACCACGGCTTCACGGGGGTTACTGCTTTTATAAAACGGTTATTCCATATACGTAGTAAGGTTTCACAAAATAAAACAGAGCAAATAAAGTGTAATGATATTAATAAACACAGTATTCTTCCACCAAACAATGTAGCTCCTCAGAAACAGTTGTGGTTGCTACAAAGTGGTTGCCGAGCAACACACAAATGTAAACAAAGGTGTGTGTTACTTTGTAGCGTCATTTACAACAGCTTCGAACACGGCTGTTGAGTAAATATGTTGAAAGCTTGAATTCCTGCTTCCCCTTTTATAAGTTGTCTAATGTCTTGTTCACCTTCAGCTGTAACAACGGTGTGGAAGAAGCTCACGAGGAAGCGGCTCTGGAGCTAGAGCCCGAGCCCAAGATCGAGGAGCCCAAGCTCAAGGCAGAGGAGAAGATGGTAGAGGAGTTTGAGGAGAAAGCACCATCTCCTGATCCTGTGGAATCACCACCTAACATACAGGAGCCACCCAAAGTAAATGCTGACCGTTAATGCCGTTCATACATCAACTAGTTAACCCGTGTTAAAAAATGCTGAATTTTATTCAGTGGTGGAAACAGGCTTCCATATATGTGACCCTGGAGCACAAAACCAGTCATAAGGGTACATTTCTCTAAATTGAGATGTATGCATCATCTGAAGCTGAATAAATAAGCTTTCCATTGCTGTATGGTTTGTTAGGATAGGACAATATTTGAAAATCTGGAATCTGAGGGTGCAAAAAAATCTAAATATTGAGAAAATCATCTTTAAAGTTGTTCAAATGAAGTTCTTAGCAATGCATATTACTAATCAAACATTAAGTTTTGATATATTTACGGTAGGAGATTTACTAAATATCTTCATGGAACATGATCTTTACTTAATATCCTATTTTTTTTTTTATGGATGGCCGCTTTTTATTTAACTTCTTTTGGACTGATGCATGCAACACCTGCTGAGTGCAACGATAGAGCTTGAAAGATAAATTTTTAATATAACTGACTGGATTCGTCTGAAAGAAGAACGTCATATACACCCAGGATGACTTGAGGGCGAGTAATTTATGGGCTAATTTCATTTTTGGTTGAACTAACCCTTTAAGACTGATTTTGTGCTCCAGGGTCACGTATTTTAGTTGAACATATCACATAAGAGATTGATTAGTACTTTGATAGTACGATAATTACATTTTAAGTATGCACTTATTCCAGTATAATTTGTTCACTGTTAAGTAAAAAAAAAAAACATTCTAGATTGTTGTTTTTATTATTATTCCTGATAAGTTATGCTGGGTCTAAATGATCCTGTCTCTGGCAGACTTCGTCTTGGGCTTCAGTGACCAGCAAAAACCTGCCTCTCGCTGGGACTGTTCCGTCCTCTGGAGCTCAACCACATGTTATTAAAGCACCAAACTCACAGGTAGCTGCTTATGAATATATTCAGATGGTTCTTCCTCATCTTCATCTTCATCTGTGGACCCAGCGGTACTCGAACCGTGTTTCTTATGCGTGCTTTCTTGACTTTTACTGTTGTCAGCCCAGAGTTGAGGCCAAGGCAGAGCTGCCATCAGCGTCGATCCGTCCACGTGACCAGCGCATCCGAGACAGACCCTCCGTGACCTCCAGAGGGCCGAGATCTGGTAATTATTTCATTAACGAAGACGCAAGTGGTGTAGCACCAAATGTAGGTTTTCTGGGTGCGTAAATCCAAAGGCTCTCCAACTGTTCGTCGATTTTGCTTCGATAGAGGCCACATTAGAATGGTGCTATAAAGTGCAGTGCAAAACGTTTTCGAGATCTCTTCATCAGTGCCATATAATTGTGGATACACACACCTGCATCCATTTAAAGTGGACAGATTAACGTAGACATCCTAATATATGTGTCCCTGCAGCACAAAAGCAGTGTTGAGTCGCTGGGGGATATTTGTAGCAATAGCCAACAATACATTGTATGGGTCACAATTATACATTTCTCTTTTATGCCAAAAATCATTAGGATATTAAGTAAAGATCATGTTCCATGAAGATATTTTGTACATCTCCTACCGTAAATATATCAAAACTTAATGTTTGATTAGTAATATGCATTGCTAAGAACTTCATTTGAACAACTTTAAAGATGATTTTCTCAATATTTAGACTTTATTTGACTTCAAATAGCTTTCATTTTTGTGATCGTTACCCAGTTTTGATTGTTTTCTGCTTTGCTTGTGTGTATCTTTAGATGGCGTCTCATCTTCTGACTCTCAGACGGGAAAGCCACTTTTCAGCTTCGTAAATAAAGGTGAACTTATCTTTCCGTTGTGAATTGGTTTGAGCTTTCGTTTGTGGTTTATGGGTGTGGAAAGGCTGGTGTTGTTGGTCCTAGCAGGTGAGATGTGCGCTGTGTTGTTAGGAAGGGCTGATGATTCGGGTGAAGTGGACAGCAGAAGGGTGCTCCGGCATCCAGACAGTCATCAGCTGTTTGTTGGCAACCTCCCTCATGACATCCACGAGAGCGAGCTCAAAGACTTCTTCATGAGTAAGTTTGTGGTAACCAGTGTTGGGGGTAACGCGAGTTACGTAATCAGATTACTTTTTTCAAGTAACTAGTAAAGTAACGCATTACTTTTTAATTTACAAGAGAATATCGGAGTTATTTTTTTAAATAAGTAACGCAAGTTACTTTTTCTTTCTGTCTTTCCGTCAAGCCTTTGGAAATGTGGTCGAGCTGCGAATCAACACCAAAGGCACTGGAGGAAAGATTCCCAACTTTGGCTTCGTTGTCTTCGACGATTCTGAGCCGGTGCAGAGAATTTTAGGCGTTAAAGTAAGGAAAGCTCATTTTATTTTGGTGCAAGCTGTTGTAAATGACGCTACAAAGTAACACACAGCTTTGTTTACGTTTGTGTGTTGCTCGGCAACCACTTTGTAGCAACCACAACTGTTTCTGAGGAGCTACATTGTTTGGTGGAAGAATACTGTGTTTATTAATATCATTACACTTTATTTGCTC